GAAGAAAAGTTTCTTCGAAGACCACGAATATTGGTGAATGATAGGTTTAGCGAACTTGGTGATGACTGTAGTTTTTTGTGTTTTATAGTTTTTGTTACTTTATTCATTTTTAAATTTGTTAAAGAACTTGACTCAAAACATAGATAGTACTCAGTACACTGTTTTATAGCTCAAGCAATTGCCTCATTTCCACTAATAAACCCTAAGCCGTAACAAAGGGCTCCAATGTGGCCTTGGCAATGCACACCAAAAGTACAAACAGGGACACCATCCATGCGCAACATGGCACTGTTAGTACTCTGATATTTTTCAGCTGTTGATGGAATCAGCCTCTCTGAGAGCTACCACAGAGTTTGGGAAACCTGACTACCAGCCGGCCTCAGAATCATAAAACTGAGTTTTAGAGCTGTACCCTCATTTGGAGATAATAGAATGAGTTGCCTAGTCATAAAAACAAAGACACAAGCAAAACCCATGAATCGAGTCAAGAAGATCCGGCGTTCAACATCCTAAACTGGAAACAATGTATTAAAAATACATCTGCGCCAGCCTAATAGATGAAGAAGGGGTGCGAGGCTGGTCAACAGATAGAATCTGTTTGCCCCTTAAAATATCTAGTCTTCAAAACTTTAGTTTATGCAAAACCATGTATTTTATTTTCAAGAGACAAATTAACTTATATTTTTCAGCAAAAAGTTATAAAAATTAAAACAAAACAATAAACTTACAACTACAAAAATAATAACACTCTAGTCACTAACTGCATTATAAAAGTAAAATAACTGTAATAGTGTAATTGCTATTATAACACACTTATAACTTTTATAAATCATTCTTTGTTCAAACAACTTAAGTAATTCCAAATATTATTTGAAGTACAGGGTGGCCCATAAGTAACTTTACATTTTAAAAATTCAATAACTTTTTCTTAAACGACTGTATTTAATCAATTCTTTTTTTATTACAAAGTTTAGAATCTGTAAGTTAGTTCTGACTTAGTTACGAAAGATAATGTCTCTTAAATAGCCTCCATTCTCTTCTTCACAAAGTCGAGCTCTTTTTAAGCTATTCTTCATGACACTTCTTAACATCTGAGGTTGTAGGTAAAGAATTTCCTGTCGTATGTTTGCCTTAAGATCTTGAACAGTTTGGGGATTATTTGCATACACTTTGTCTTTAAGATATCCCCAAAGCCAAAAGTCTGGTGCTGTCAAATCAGGAGAACGTGGAGGTCATTCAAAATCTGATTTAAGAGAGATTATCTGATCCTGAAACAATGCAGTTAACAGCTGCATTGTGGCTCTAGCGGTATGTGCAGTTGCTCCATCTTGTTGCCACCAATACCCTTTCATGTTTGCTAACTGAGGTTGAACAAAATTCGCTAGCATGTGTTGATGTTTCTCAGCAATTACAGTCACAGCATTTTCATTTACATGTTCAAAGAAGAAGAGCTCAATAACCCTTTCTGATGTTACTCCACACCATGTTGCAACTTTAACCGGGTGTAATGGACTCGCATGAACTTGGTGTGGATTTTTGGTGCCCCAGAATCTGATATTCTGCTTATTCACGTGTCCATTCAAATGAAAATGAGCTTCATCTCATTGTTATTCATTTTGTGAATAAACTCATTGTCATTTCTTGCAGTTCTCTGAAACCTGACAGCATAATTTAGTCGTTTCTGAAAGTCTGGTGGTTGTAAAGATTGCACTAATTGAATCTTGTAAAGGTACATATGCAAGTCTCTTTGAATGCACTGCAGAGAACTCCGTGAGATGCCAAGTTCTTGAGAACGCCTTCGAGTGGATGTGGTTGGGTTCTCTTCAATCCTACAGCTCGCAGCTTCAGTATTTTCACGTCTACGTACTAAACGACCTCGTCCACTTCTGGTCCTATCACTTACAGAGCCATGCTCTTAAAAACGCGTCACTAAGTTCATTGTTGCAGGCCTACTTGGGGGATGTCGAACATTAAAATGGCGCATATACGATCTTTGCATTGCAACAGTTGACCGTCCATTTTTAAAGTAAAACTCAATTTTCTTCACTTGTTGTTCTGTTGTAAACTTATCCATACCAAAAATTTCCTAAGATTATATTTTTTTAATTCTGAAAAGAGAAATAGAAATATATTATTAGAAAAAAAGTTATTTAATTTTTAAAATGTAAAGTGACTTATGGGCTACCTTGTAGAAAAACATCCAGGAAAAATAGAATGCATAGTCAAATAATATTAAAAACTTTAGGAACTCAAACTAATACATACTTGAACAAAAATGTAAAGTACAAAATCATAAACTTTTTGTAACGTTTATCATTTCGAGAAATGTTACTAATGGCCCATAAAAACGCGAGTAATTTTTAAAATCAATCAATTAAGAATTTTTATTGGCTGATTTAAAAAATTAACACACATTTTTACAGACCATTAGTAACATTTTAGAAATGCTAAACATCTTTTATAAAGCACGTATGTGTCAAGTTCCTGAAGCTTCTAGTATTATTTGGCTACCCATTATATTTTTTAAGATGCTTTTCTACTTCAATTAAAATTTGGTATTACTTATGCTGTTTGAACAAAGAATGAATTATAAAAGTTATAAGTGCGTTATAAAAAGTAATAACACTATTATAGTGTTATTATTTTTATAATGCAGTTAGTGACTAGAGTTATTAGTTCTCTAGCCATAAGTTTTTTTCTTTTTTTTTTTGCTTTATAGACATCAGTCGTAAGTTTTGTTTTGTTTTATTTCGTCATAGTTGTTTTGCTTTGTTTTGTTTTTATAACTTACTAACAAATTTGAGCTAATTTGCTCCATTTTTGAAGACCAGATATTTTTCCAGATATCGAAAATCGCGATCACTTAATTCAACTTTTGAAATGCTATATATCCAAACTATAGAAATGTTACCACAATCCATTTTTAAAGTAAAAGTAAAAACTGTAAAACTTGATATTTGTTTTAACAATATGTAATTTGAAGTTTACATAGGTTAGATACTTGCAGTAGTGTGGTAGTGGTAAAGCCAAGTGGTTTAGGCTCATAAGCGAGAAGTTCTGAGTTTAATCCCCACCACGACCCTGGTAGTACAGCGCACAACTTGTTTCTCCGCACAGCGGCCTTGTTCGTCAAGGTTTGTGTAACCACAACTAAAGTAGCCTCCTCGACTGAAGTGGCCTTCATGGCCTAGGGGAAGTGAATTCAATTAAAAAAAAAAAAACTTTCATGCACTTTCGTTCTCGTTTTCCTACACAAAAAGTGCAGTGACTCTTTCTTGCAATTAACTTGGGTGTAATGGCTGCCTTAAGTTCTGTACAAATGCATAAATAAGCAGCAGCAGCATTAAATTTTTTAACTGATGATATTTCGGCTATACCGTAGACTGATAAAGTCGTAGCGGACTGTACATTATCTATATTATTTGACTAAAATTTAAGTTAATTTGTAAAAAGTCAATTCCAATTTAAGTTAAATTAGAACAGCCATAGTCGAGTGTACATCAACTGAAGGTTTATGTTTTAGGCTTAGCACTCTTTTAATCAATACAAAAGATTTTCTAAATTTGAAACTTGAAAAAATAAAAAATATTACACCTTCCATTCTATTGCGTGCTGTAGTTTATAGACAACCCATGGTTTCATACACAGCAAATATATTGTCAAAGTTGTACTACTTGTAATGGCATATAACAAAAGTGTAAATTGTCATTTTTTTATATCTACCTATCTATCTATAAACATATATATATATATATATATATATATATATATATATATATATATATATATATATATATATATATATATATATATATATCATATATATATATATATATATATATATATATATATATATATATATATATATATATATATATATATATATATATATATATATATATATATATATATATATATATATATATATATATATATATCAATTGGGAATATAATAATAGCGCACAAAAAAGCGCAATTTAAAATGTTCATATTTTTTTCTGCTATTCAAATTAAAGTAAAAATAGCGAAAAAGAATGCTTTGAATAAATATTAGATATAATAATTTAAAAAAAAAAACTGGTAAAAAAAAAAACATTTTTCATAAATTTAAATATATATATATATATATATATATATATATATATATATATATATATATATATATATATATATATATATCAGCACTTTTAGTAACTTTAATATTCTTTAATCTCTACAAAGCAAATAAAACATTAAAAAAAAAATATCCATTAGTAGGATTTGAACCCTCACCTAATGCTGATATAGCATTTGTGCCTCATAAATGATGCACTTAATCAACCTCAGCACTACATGAGTGTGGCAATGCAGGAAAAATTATTAGTAAGACTTCCAAGAAAGCATGTTCTGTCGCTCATCTTGTTTGTCCACATTTCAAATAACTTTTTTAGACAACTTGACCTTATTTTTATGTAATAAGCGTTTTTAGAATTTATGACAAAATAAAGCTATATGAAACTACAGAGAATAAAATAGCAATATTCAAAAAAAGGAAACAAATACTATACAAAATAGAAGATCTAAATAAAATTAATTTTAAAAAAATTGAAAATTAAAAATAGAAACATCATCAAAAAAATATATACCTAAATATTTCATTGTTTTTGTTTTCTTTTTTTTAGGGAATTTAATTTCTTCCCTTATAACAAAATTTATTAATTTAAAGCAACAAAGGAAGCTTTGAAAAGAAAAAATCAGATTAGAGATAAATGTGTGAGAAAGGAAATGAGAACAAAACTATTACAAAATCATTGAAAACTGTTCTTGATCAAAAGGTTATAAAAGTTAACAATGTAGACACTGTTGTAAAAATATAATGTAAACTTTACGCAAAGCATTAAAACATCATTCAAAGCGAAATTCCAAAATTGGATAAAATTTGGATAAGTCCAAATTTTATCCAATTCTGATATCTTTATTAGGAATTTGATGCTGTTTAAAAAAAGTCTAAAAATGGTTACCTTTCCTGTCAATCCTGAAGGAAAATCTGTTTCAAACTTATTACTCAACCCAAATCTAAAACAAATAAGTTATAACAAAAAAAATATTATTATTATTTTTTTTTTTTATGCATAACTATAACTCACATTCAGGTTTGTTACTTACAGCATTATATTAAAATATACACTATATCAAAATATCAATACACTATATTACAGATTTTATTTAATCCTCCTTGATTTATCAACTTTTATATCCTCCTTAATTTATCAACCTTTATTTATAAATCAAAGAGCTGATCTGCTGAAAAAGTCAACTGAAGTAAGGTAACTCACTTAAAAAAATTATAAATAAAATAGCTTATTAGATGGGGCATTTAATAAGCTATTTTTTTATTTTTTTTTAATTTAATGTATAAGCTATTTTTTTAATTATTTTTTAATTTAATGATTTTTTCAATAACATAACATAAGCCTTTTCAGAAGACATGCAGTCCCATGCCTTATGTGACCACACATTTAACATTTTGTTTTGACAAATTGGCCACAGCTCTTTGCAAGTTTTAAAAATCTGAGTTTAAAAAGGGCTGAATAAACAAATGTAAACATAAATAAAATTTAAAAATAAACAAAGTATAAACAGAAAGAAAAAACCTAGAAAAAAAATTTTAACTTAAAAAAATTAAAATCTTAACAAATAATTAAATAAATAAAAGATAAACCAGAAAAAATTAAAGTATAAAATTAGTTTGTCTTCATTTAAATTTAAGTGTTTCACTTCATAGAATTAAAAAAAAATCAAAATTTCAATGTTATTTTATCCAAGCTTAATGACTTAGTAACTTACTTTAAAACTTAAGTTTGAAAAGGCTACATTTAAGAAAAGAAGATGTTCAGTTATACCCTTGAATTTCAAAGTTGAAGTTTGGAGTTTGTTGATGTTAATGTTGCTTGATGTTGATGTTGCTTTATTACATCTTGAGCGCCCTACTTGATTTTTTATTACCTCATGTAACTTACAACAAACTAATCAAACTGCTAGAAAAATTTCTCTCACTGATCTGTCAAACAACTCACAATCGGTAGAAAGAACTGTAAAAGTTTTCATCTAAAGCCTTAAAAAAAGTTTATGGAAGAGTGAAGAGGCATAGCTGTATTAGGGTTCCCACTATTAAAACTAAAGCTAAAATTAAGGATTTTAAGGAGATTTAAGGAGATATTTTCCTAATATTTAAGGAGATTTGGTCGCGAACAACATTTTTTGAAAGAAAAAGGATAATTAAGGAGAAAACGATTACATTAAAAACATAATCTTATTGTTTTCAATAAATTTTAAACATAAACAGGGAAATTATTAATACTATATATATATATATATATATATATATATATATATATATATATATATATATATATATATATATATATATATATATATATATATATATATAAATTTTAATATATATATAATAACAAAAATAGGTTTGAAAACTATCAAAAATCTATATATTATCTACTTTATTAACAAGTATAATCCATTCACTTTAAAAAAATTTTTCTAAATGAATAAAAAAAAAAGAAAAAAAAAAGGAGAAATTAAGGAGAGTAGTCAAATTTTAACTTTTTTAAAGGTTATTTAAGGAAATTTACGGAGGTTTTTATTTTTTAAGGATATTTAAGGTTTTTAAGGAGGTGTGGGAACCCTGTGTATGCTGGTTAAAAACTAGAGCATAATGGAAACCAAGAGAAATGTGACCATTGCATACCTTCTTCAAAGTAATTTTATCATCTTTAATGTTACAAAAGTATATTAAAAATGACAAACATTTCTTTAAAATACAGTTTGTTGTTTCTTCCAATATGAGAAAAATAAAAAATTTTTGTATTGCAGTAATAAACACTAAAAATTAAATAAACCATATGCAGGGCGCAAAGGCGTGAGATGAAAATTCTAGTTTCCATTAAACTAACCTAAATTAAATCAAAATCAGCACTCTCTGTGAACACTTTCAAATAAAAAAAATCTTGCAAAAAAAAAAAAAGATTATAATTTTTTGGAAAAAAGAGACAAATAGTGGAAAACTTTGAAGTGATTTCCCAAAATTACGTTCAGTCCAAATTAGCTAATTTTTTTGGAACCGTGATTATATATATCATGTAAACCCCAAAGTGAGCCAATGTGTTCAGAAAAAAAAGTATGTTTAGACAGTGGCTTAATGCATAACCACCTCCTATTTATGCACTTTTTGTCGCAGTACTAACTCTTTCCAAATACTGCATTCATTGTTCCACAATCCCAGCACCAAATACAGATGGAATGTGAATTTATAATGTTACTTTTAAATTTAGACCAGATAGTTTCCACCGAGTTTAACATTGCACTGTAACAACCAAACTATTCGATGACCATTTGTGATTTGTTCATTGATGTTCCTAACATATACAGCTCATTTTTGTTTGTTTTCATTATGTTTGTTTCATTTCATGTTTCTTGTAGAAAGTACCTTGTGCACTTTTTTTAATGAAAACAATCTGCCTTTGAGGTAATTGGCAGTTGTTGTTGTGCAGACGCTGATATTAAATTGTCTTAATCAGGGGTGTGGAGTCGTAAAAAAAAAGGAACAACTCCGACTCCAGTTGTTGAGATTTTTTGAGTACAACTCAGACTCCAACTCCAAAGCAAAATTTTTGACAAATTTTTTGAATTTTTTGCGATAAGTTAAAAAAAGTTTTTTGACAAATTTATGAAACGCTCTTAGAGGTTTAGTATAAATATAAGGTTAATTGAATGTTTTATACATGTACGTGCAATACCGAGAAGTTTTACTATTGGAGTCGGAGTCGCGATTTTGTTTAGTGACTCAGACTCCGCTAAAAATGTCTCAACTCCGCAACTCCGACTCCAGCTCCACAGCCCTGGTCTTAATATTTTTGTTTTGATAAATTGTCATAATATTTTTGTTTAAATCCTCAGTCAATTTTTTGGTTTTAAACCACCTCTTCCAATAAAATTTAAATTTCTGCTGCTAACCAAATTAAAAGCTAACTTATATTTAACCACTAAAGCAACTCTTCTTCTGTCATTCAGTGAAGATAAAAAGTAATGTTTTCTTTTAACTTGTTCAGTTGTACGCATTTAACACTGAAAAATCAGACAAGTTGGTTCTGATTGTTCCAGAAGCGAATGAAAGCTAATTTGGAGAAATGAATGCTGACATGGATTCAATTTAATAGCAGACTTTCAGGTCATTATGCATTAACAAATAATACAACAATCTTTTAATTCCATTATTATTGCTGGTGCATATAAATACTTAATTTGGTATTATTAACTTATTCAAATTCATGTTCCAGAAAACCTTTAATATTGACATATAAGCTAACATTGTGTATTCACAATTTACATATTACGATTTCTTATTTACATGTTGTGTTACTCAATTGATTTTACAATTTTTTAATTACATGTTGTGTTTCTTTATTACATATTATGATGTCTAAATTATATGTTGTGTTTTTTTAATTAAGTATTATGATTTCTTAATTACAACTTTTATGTTCTCAATTACATCTTGAAAAGGTGTAGAAATGCAATATTAAAGTACTGACTGATGAAAATGAATACTCAGTGGATTTCAAAAAGTGAACAACAATGCATAAATGAAATCATAGAGCTTCTGTAAAAAAGCTTGACAAAATTCTTCTCACTCATTTATTGCAAAATCATAATCAAGCTGTTTAAAGCATCTCAAAAAGATAACTAATTTTAATAAGGCAATTATCCTAGCAGATTTTGCATAGAACAAGAAACAAGAATACTTGTTTCTTGTGTTATACGTGTTTTACCAATCCTATTTGTAAAGAAATACGCTCTTGCTTCTGAAATACAAATATTTTTTTTGTACAACCATTGATTATGACATCTTATTTTTAGATATAAATTGTTTATTAGTGGATATCTCTAATGGTATAAGTAAATTAAAAAATAGAATACTTTTTTATGCTTTAAGAAACCAAAACTATATTTTATATTAAAAATATATATCTCCTCTTTCATTTAAAAAAAATATTGAATCCAAGAGTGGTCAGCTCAGAATCAGCAAATTTGCAACCCATGGTAATGAATCAGAAAATTTGTCTTGACCATTTTAAAATTAAAAAATAACTATCTAAGATTTTGAATTCAGTTATTTTCTTTTTATATATATACCCTCAAAAATGGTTAAATACTAATATTTGTTTCATGGATAAGATACGCACACATATATATTATAAATATATATAAATAATTGCAAATTTATGGTGAAAAACCTCAAGCCTTTTACAATACAAGGATCTGGAATAGATATATGTGATAGAAATGAAAAAAAAAACAAAAATAAAATATTAATTTGTTTATTTATAAAAAAAAATTATTAATTTCAATAAATATACAAACGTAGTCAGAATTCAGTAAAATATAATAAGTCCAGTCAAATAAGATAAAAACAAAATATTAAAATATAATAAGATAAAAACAAAATTTAAAATCTAAGACGCAAGAAATAGATACAAAATTTCATAACTAACTTTAAAAAAATAAGGTAATTTAGAATAAGTCACTTAAGATTTAAATGAAGATTTGAAATTATTTTGAAATAAGCTTTAAAATTTGTTTGAAATTTTCATTTAAAAAATATACTCTTGGATGGTATAAAAAAAATATTTCTTTATCAGAGATTCTAAATCTTTAAATTACAAGGAAGATACAGATTATTTCAAAATGTCTTTTATTTTAAAAGAAAAAAGATATTTTGAAACATAACTCTATCATATCAAATCTTTTGAGTTGTTTCACTGTTACTTTTTAACCCCTTTAGTTTAAAACTCAAACCTTGACAAAAAAAGTCAAGCAACAAGTTGTTAAAATATGTGAAATGTTCCAACAGAACCTTCTGTATTCTTAGGTAAAACTTTACCTTAATAGAATGGAGAAACAATCTTTTTTCATTGTAAAGTAATTTTTTCCTGGCATTCTATAATTGCTAAGTTATATTCAGAAACGGATATAAACCCTAGGGGCCCTAAGCTGAATCAATTTATGAGGCCCTCAAAAATATTTTGAATAAGAAACAATATAGTATTTATAGCTTTAAACTGTTAGTTGTTTGCTTTTGTATTTTCAAATTTTAAGTTTAGCACTATAGCTTTTAAATAAATTTGTTCTAGAATTCCTCCGTGCAGAATTAATCTCTTAGTGATTTATAGTTGTAATCATTAATGATTGTGCAAATAGAACTTTATAAAATGTTATTAATTCTTCATTTCTTCACTACCCTACATTATGACATCAATTTATAGTTTGATGATAATTTAATATTATTGGGATATTAAAAATGATTTCTTGAAAACATTCTGTACCTTTGTAAGTATAACTCTATATATTCTGTTTTATTTTCCAGTAAGATATTTTATAAACAAGACTATAAATAAATATTTGAAATGCTGATTTTGGGTTATATTATTTAATCGTTGTCCTAATTTATAGGCATGTTCCTCTTTATAATTAATATGTAAAAATTTATATATAAAACAAAATGCATTTTTTGAATTATTTTAAATGCCTATTTTCATATTCACCTCTTAATTTTAATTTCTTATTTTATTTGATATGTTTGATAATTGTTTTAGAAATTTTTTTAAGAAACATGTAAACATCAAAATTACAATAATTTGGGAATATAGCATTGCCGAATTTATAATATTTTAATAATTCAAGAATATGCTATATTCTCTAATATTTTGACCAAAATATTTAGGAATATAGCATATATTCCTGAATATTTAGAAATATTCAGCTTAATTTTTTTGACTAAATAAGTGTGTGAACTTTGTATTTTTTTATAATTGAAACCAATAAAAAAAACTAATTTATCAACTGCTGATTATCTAATTACTGTCATTGATTTTTATCTAGTCATTTCAAATGTTAAACATTTTTGTTTGTTAGTGACTCAATAATATTCATGTAAAAACTCAAAGATTTCTTATTTTCTTGCCTTAATCCTAAAGCCAATAGACATTGCTGATGTAAAATACTTTGTAAACTGCAACAATAATCATTTTATTACACTTAAGATAACTTAAAACAATATTTAATAAAAGAAAAATCACACTTTTGATAAATTTTTTTTTTTATTAATCAATTTAATTAGAGCACCAAGAAATGTCCAAATTTTTGTTTGGAATATTTTAATCAACGAGATCTTCTACAAGATTAAAAAAATATAAATAGTATTAAAATTTGAGAACTCAGTAAGATTGATAAAAATTTTTAAAATTCTCTTAAACTGATTTATGATCAGATTTTTTCAGCTAAACTTTTTAATTACAGTTTTATCTATTAGGATGTTTGAATTATATTTTAAAACTATTAAATTAATAATTTTAAAATATGATTATACACTATTTAAAAAATATTCAAAACAAACTAACAAAGTAAGATGACCAACGCCAGAAATTCTTATAGGATCGGATCTTCGAAAAGGTTCAGTTTCACCATCTCCATAATCTTGTAAAGCGTCTTCTATCATATCAAATCTTTCCATAAGAATTTAAAAAGCATTGTCTTTAAGAATTTTCATTTATTAAAAACGCATAACATCACTTATATACTATAGTTCCACTGGCAGGTTTTGTTTTTAAATAGTTCGTGGAGTCAATATAAGTTATATTAAAATTTCAAAATTTATTAAAAATTTTAAAACAATTTTAGAAGGATAGCTAACTCTGTATAAATTTAAAACAAACTTGTTTCAATGTTAAAAGTTGATATAATTAACAGACCCAGATAGCATTTATGCTATCAGCCGGATTGTCGAGAATTATGAAAACGGATGTCTGGTAAATACCGGATAAGAAAAAAAAGAAATACAAACAAAAAAATAATAATTTGAATCTTAAAAGTTTTTAATTATAATGTGATTTTATTTTTTTTTATAATAAATTTTATTAATTTTAAAGAATTAAATTACAAATAGTTATTAATTTTTCTATGCAAAAGATTATCGGCTTTTTTTTAGTTAAAATTATATTTGCTTTATTTTTACTACTCTCTTCAACAGATTTTGAAAACTATTTTATTAAAGTATATAGCTTTCTGATTTGTATTTTATATTTTCAATATTTGTGTGTGTGTGTCAGTCTGTGTGATTTTTCACAATAACAGTTTTATATATGAAATATTTCAATAATGCAATGCAATATAAGGTTATAGTAAAAGTTTGAAATGAAATTTTTTTACTGAATTATCAAAAGATATTTTAACAAATAATTTTAAAGGTTTTATGAATTATTTAAAAATATCGATACTTTCATATCAATATTACCACTACTAATCTAAATGTTGTTACTGTTTGAAATAGTTATAAAAAATGACTACACTCTTTAATTATACAGTATGACTTGGTAAAACCTGATCAATAGTGTTTATTCAAAGTAACTTATGAAACAAATTACATAGCTCATTGCTTGGCATGACGTGTTCTATTTAAAATTTATCCTATTTGCCTGCTCTTTGTGAGATAAATTTAAATGCTTTATATTTAAAAGCTTTTCCTTCAAAAGATCTTAGTTTTGATGGGTACTATCCTTTGATTTGCAAAGACTGCAAAGTTTACATACTTGGCTGGGGGGTATACTAGCTAGCACACATACGTTGTTAAAACATTAGAACAATGTCGCGTGTTTCGTTGGCCCAACATTGGCTGTCAAAGTTGTTTTTACATCATTATGGTTACAAATGCGACGTCGCCAACAACTACAAACAAATGTTGATAAAACGTTTATTTAAAGTTGGAAAATGGTTATATTTTCTACGTTGATAATTACATTGTTTCAACGTTGAACTTTAATTGGAAAAACGTTGTATTCAATATTATTCGGAATTAAAATTTCATTAAATTCTATTTTCTTTATGCATATATATATATATATATATACAAATATATATATATATATATATATATATATATATATATATATATATATATATATATATATATATATATATATATATATATATATATATATATATATATATATATATCTTGGAAGATTTTATCTAAGTTTTATATATCGCAACAGCAATGTTTGGTCGCATACATTGGATCAACGTTGGGTTTAGTTCGTAAAAACAATCAACTCTTTGCGATGTATTTCCATACATTGGATCAACGTTGATTTATATACATTGAATCAACGTCGAGATATATACATTGGGTCAACGTTGGGTTTAGATCGTAAAAACAATCAAATTTTTTCGATGTTTTTACATACATTGAAGCAATGTAAATTTGCCAGATGTTTTTAGTTCCGTCGGTAATAATTTTATCATTAACCAAATGACATTGGATCAACGTTGGTTTTGCATTGGAAAAAAGAGTAGACATTCGCGATGGTTTTACATACGTTGGCCCAATGTAAGTGCTGGGTAAGCATCAATTTACCCATTTGTTAAAAATTCAAATTTGAATTTTGAACTATTCTTTTATGTGTTTCCGCTTAGTGTCTCTTCACTTTATCACCTTTCTCTTTTTCCTTTATTGTTCTACTGATTCTCTTTCTATTTCTTCTTTTCCTTTATTGTTCTACTTATTCTCAAGACTGCACTCTTTTAGATATAATTTCAGATCAAATGACTCATTTTTTGTTACTTCATTTTTTCCTTTCTCTTTACCCCAACTGTTTTGTTATTGAATATATAAAATATTGGCCAATATTATTGTTATTGGTGACTTTAATGCTCATCACACTGAATAGTTTGGCTCTTACACCACTAACTCTGCTGGCATTAAAACCTATGATTATTCACAACTCAATCTCTAACTCAGATATTTAACTTTGCGACTCGTTTTGCAGACAACCCTGAACACTAAACACCTTTACTCCTTGATTTAAGTCTTGTCTCTGACCCTAGCTTGTGCTCATTTTTTTCTTGTTCTTCTTTAGCTGGTTCCAACTAAACGATGATCTCTATAAAACTTTCATCTTGTACTGCTTTGGACTCACCTTATCACCGTACTACTTACTACTATCATAAAGTTGACAGGGATTCGTTTCTTGATTTTCTTCGGGACAATCCTTGAGCTGATGTCTTTTCTTTCCGCTGATAAATGTGTCTCCTTCGTAACCACCTGGATCCAAACAGGAATGGAAGCTTTTAATCCTTCTTATAAGTTTCTCAGCTTAGTGTGCAGCTGCTGTATCTAATTCTAATTATTTTTTTCACCTTTTTCAAGAGAAAAACACTATTTGAGTTAACAAACTTGAGTTTGAGTTTACGATTTTAAAACAAACATCTGTTTATTATTGTAGAAAATTGATGTAAAATTATTCTCAGTTCACGAAATCTCGTATTTTATCTCCGAAGTTACCCTTTAGATACTTGTGGAAAATCTTTAACAGCATTATTAACTAATTTCATCTTTCCATTTATCATCAAACCAAAAAAAACTTTTAAATAATAATTTTTTATTTTATTTTATTACTTAATATAATGATTTTTTTTTTCTTCTTCTTTACTAAAACTCTATTATGGATAGCGAAAATTTTGATACAATGGTTATGTTGAAAGAACTGCTATCGGCTCAAGCAGATACAATGTTGAAATGTTTTAAAAAGCTTTAACAGCATTAATAAAAGAATACTAATATTAGAAAAGGAAGTTGAAGAAATAAAACGAGGACTTACTTTTGTTGGAAATGATATTGAAACCAAAGTAAACAAAGTAGATAGTAATATGGCGATAATAAAAGAAACAATAATTGGGATAAAGTTGTTTCAAGGAAAGTTAGTAAACGAGGCGACAGAAAACAAACGCAAAACTGTTGAATTAGAAGATCGTAACCGGCGAAATAAATTAAGAATAGTGGACATTAAAGAAGTAGTAAACGAAACCAATAAAGATGTATTGAAAAAAATTAAAACCCTCATTAAGTTGGACCTTAAAAAAAATGAGTCTATTACAATTGAAAGGGTTCATAGAGTTGGAAAGTTAGAAAAAAGGACAATCGTCTTCAAAATACTCAATTGGCAAGTAAAGAGACAATATTAACAAACGGTCGTAAGTTAAAAGGAAAAAATATATTTGTTAACGAAAATTTTAGCGAAGAAACAACAAGAATACGCAAATAACTTTTTGCTCAAGCTAAAAGAAGTAACGGCAAACATGCGAAGGTGATTTATAACCGTTTAATCGTTAGAGATATGCTGATTGAGAGTAAAGCTGGTGACAAAACGACTTAAGTAAGCTTTTATAATTTGTTTTTGAATTTCTTGATTTAACTTTTTTTTTAATGATAAAAAGCAATATGACTAAAATCGATAATTTTAACAATCCAAAAAATAACTTTGAAAACTTTATACCTGCTATTTTAGAAAAATCAAAATCTCATGAATACAATTTTATAAACAATTTAAATGCTAAATGCCTAAGCAATGAATACTATAAACCTGATAAATTTATTAAAGATAAAGTCAAAGAAAATTTCAGCATTTTAAACAGGAGCGGATCTAGGGTGTAGCAAGTGAAGCAATTGCTACAGTCTACTCGGACTACATTTATTATTATTTTCAACACACACGCACATATATATTATATATGTGTATATATATATATATATATATATATATATATATATATATATATATATATATATATATATATATATATATATATATATATATATATATGAAGACCACACGGGTAAAACCACAGATGTCACATTTTTCTCATTTCGAGAAAAATGAAATTTAGTGTTTAGTGACTTTAGATATCTGTTTATTAATAATTTATTTAATTAAAAGTACATTTTTCTGACATTTTAGTCCTTATACAATATAAAAACGCAGTTTTTGTGCTAAATACAAGTATTATTTATTCACAATGTTCTTTTGAAAACAAGACACTCATTTTGGACATCTGTTGTTTTTCCGTTGTAAACTCATCAACTCGTAAATTACGTTAGATTGTAACCTTTTAGAGCACTTATTTTTTTTTAAGGTTTTTTTTTTTTTTTTTTTTTTTTTTTTTTTAACATCTTCACTTCCAACAAGGCTGCAAGCAACCACTATAAGAGTTGGAAGTTACTGGAAGAGAAAAGACTAAATCTGTAGAGCAAGATAACGATTGACTGATGACTTAAAAGATTGCAAATTATATGAATCAGGAAAGCAAGATGAAGGAAGCGAATTCCAAAGAACTGATGTTCGAGGAAAAAAACTAGAAGAATAAGAGTTTTTGAAGCACTTAGGAACAGTCACAGAAAAAGGATGAGACTTAATTGAATGGCGAGTAACACGAGAATGAATTTTAGTAGATGGCACAAGGTAGATGGTAACACATTGTAATTTACAACTACAACGTACTAAGAGTGTGATGGGATAATAAAGCCACCGCCCCCTCCCCCTCTTTTAATAAAAAAAATTCGATTCACGTTCACAGAAAAACATTTTAAAAAATCAAAATGTTTTTTAAAATGTTTTTCTGTGAACGTAATGTTGTTTACTTCATCCGAAAAGTTAGTCATGTGACTTACGCTTTTATTATCATTGGTTTAGTTAAAAATAACTTGTTTTTTACGCGGTAAACATTGGACAACAGTGGTTGTTTCAAAGTTGCCCTTTTTTTTAAATGACCATAGAACCTTAAAACATAGTTTTTTTGTTATGAATTTTTAAATTAAAATAGGTTAATA